ACATTTGTAACACCTTTAGTAAACTAATACAGAGGAGAGTGGTATACATCTCCGAAAATAATTTAAAGAAGGAAAAGGAGAAAAGAGATAGGGTATTCAACAGCAACTGTCCGTAGGCACAATTAACTCACTTCCCCAGGTTTTAGAAGCCATCAAAAGTTGTTTGGGAGAAGATTCAAAGTAACAGGTGGACTAAGAATCAGTATGAACTGCTAGTTAAAAGTATAAGCTATTCAAACTAGACATATATAAATCTCTCTGATCATGACTACATATCCAAATTTGTAAAACAATCAACTGAAATATGTGAGGGCATGGATCATCATAAATTTGTATTTACCCTTTAATTAGCTGCCAACTTTTTTAAAACATGTATAATCATAAAAGAGAAAATTTTGTATTTCCTTTAAAAATTATTCTCATTAACAAAATTCTGATGAATAATGTTAGTTTTCTCCTTAGTATGACAAAGATCAATTCAGGAGACCTGAGGAATTAAATTGAGTTTAAGTGCATTTTAATTTAATCAAGTTTCCAATCACCTAGATATCTTGCAGTAAGTGTGGTCTCAAAAATAATTTCCACCAACAGACATTATTTGGGTGGTAAGGAACTACCAGTCTAGTTTCTACCACAGTACACAATGATGGAGAGAGCCGCTTCACACTTGCAGCTGGCTTGAAACAATTTTATTAACTTACTACTAGTGTAAGCTCAAAAACTTAGCACTGGCAGTAAGATATCAAGTAAAATATGTAAACACTTCCTATGTGAACTGGTGTAAGAGATTCTTGTCCTCATTTTACAACTCAGACTTGCATTACAGTAAAAACTTTCAGTAGAGTAAGACATAAAATGCATACCAGAATTTACGTAAGGACAGCTCAACACAGGTAATTCTTTATTCAACTTGTGAATAAGCCACTGAAATTACCAGTACTAGACATACTGGAGAGTGGAGAACAGAAGACAGGTGTTCATCTTTTGTTTTTTTATCATCATATTCTGCCACACAGAGTTTCTGTTTATTTTGTTCAGAGACTATCTGCAGGTGAACATACTCGCAGTTCTGCAGAAGTTTATTTAAAGCTGGTCTGCTGCAACCCCATTTTTCCCCTGGTTGCATGTTCTCACTCCATTGCTTCTGTCAGTGCTAAAACAAAACTGATGCCATAGCAAGTCAGCTAATCCAGGGTTAAGCTCTCCACCAAATGGACTCACTGCACCATGAGATGAAGGCCATTACCTTCCGATGCAAAACAGGAATCAGGAACAGCAAATCATGAAGGAACGGCAAGACTGCACCAGCCCTTGGTTCATGCTGTCACGGATACATTAAGTCTGCTTCACACTACTAAAAATAGCACACTATCACCTCTCCTCCACATCAAAAAGTTTACCACGTTACACAGCAGTCTCTCCTCAGAAGTTTGCTGCTTCATTACTCTACCTACAGAACTTCTTTTCTGATAATTTACATGATGTGCACTGTGAGAGACTTGCATCTGAACTGACAGGGCAGATTTCCTGAAGAGCTTTTAAGGACAGCAATGTCTTTTGTCTGCTACTGTACCACTTATTCATTTCATAATCTTAATTGAACAAGCAGCAAACAATGGATTGCTCAGTGTGACCAACATTTCAACAGGGGGACTATGGAAGGTGGCACTATACTCTCACTTGTAAAATTAAAATGTAAAACCAGCACACCATGCAGGAATGAATTTGAAAGAGCTATTCAGGGAAGTCAAACTTGCATGCAGAATTTATTGTGGCTTTCTAGACAGCTAAAACAAAATCTGGTACCTTTCAAATTTCAAGCTTTTTCAAGTCTTAGCTACAGGACAGCAAATTACATACAGCATTACTACAACAACCACTTGTTGAAAAACTGATTCCAGACCAAATCAGAACCCTTAAATAGAAGCCAAAAATATTATCTTCTCCTCAGAAAGGAAGAATATGGAGTCAAAAGGAAAAAGAGGTAAAAAGTGTATGCCTGAAATTTTAATTCTGTTGTATGTCCCTCATTCTATATAAAGACAGTATACAAGAAAAATAGTAACTAAAGAAACTTGGACATCTGTATAACAAAAGGAGTATCTAGAAAACACATCCAGCTACAAGATTTTATTTTTTCAGCATTTGTTGGAATACACATATTTCTAGCAGAGGAATTCAGCAATGCCACTCAGGACCTCAAAGACTAATTCCAAACCCTTAAAGACACTGTAAATCAGTATGCTATACTTAATTATTATGTACTTCCCCTTACACAGGCTCTGCATTTTTATGTACATTCTGCAGCACACAATCTTTTGCAAGAGAATCGCTCAGCCTTACTGAACTCTCATGAATAACAAACTCTCAAAGCTCTCACAATGAAGAGAGGTCAATAACCTTTAAGATTCATTTTAGGAGGCATAAGGATGGTGCAGCTCAGTGTGATCCCACAAGTCTGCAGACTGCTTTATTCTTCCTGGTTTTTTGGGAGAAAACCATGAAAGAAGCAGTACCATATGATCTCGCACATCCAGATAATGACCACTATCTCATTGAACTATGGGAAAAGAGTTAGTGCTGTGGAGCCTCAAGTACAGCCAACAAGGTTTCATACCAAGGAAATGTAAATTAAATATAAAGTAGTATTTTTTTATTTTTTTTTTTTAAGAAATACGTCTTAGCCTTTCTCCTTTGGGAGAAAAAGAACAGCTTTTTCAGCCAATCTGCGTCAAGTTGTCCTTTATATTTCTAAAGATGAACTGTTTGACTATGCCACCATCATTGTAAAAATCCAAGAGCAAGTAGAAAGGGCAATTAATAATTCACATCCACAGGGAAAAAATTACTCGTGATCCAGATTCATCAATATGAAAAGAAACTACTATGGAAATAGTGTCTGTTCACACAAGTCACTTCAAATGGAAATCCATTTTAGAAATGTGCCTATTTGTGAAGTTGCTATAAAATGTAATGAGGTTTTTTAATACCTTGTGTATAAAAATTGCTTTTCTGAAATGTATCTCAGAAAATGAAAGCATTGCCACTATATGGCAAGAATGAATCTGAATTTTCTCTCCTACATAGTCTCAAATTGTATTCAAGTTGAATGAAGTTAAAACAAATACATTAAGACCTTTTAATCAATTTTAATCCACTGATACTTATTTGGAAAACAGTAATCCTTGCAGGTATGCTACCACATGAAAAGGAATTTCCAGTTTTCCATTAATACATTTTAGAGCCGCTCTGGCATCTTCCAACATCTAATTTCCCACCTCTTATTATAATAAGCTAGTTTTGCTTTTTTTCCCCTCATGCTTCCTCTGATTATTTAAACGTTCATGGCTTCCTTCAGAGAAGTCTCATGCCTACACAAAATATATAAAGATGCTAATGAAACAAACTGACAAAGCATTACGATGCTATATTTGGACAATAGTTAGCCTCGTGTTGTTGCTTCTTTCTAAAGGGAAAAAGACATTTTACAATCAGGATTACAGACCTCCCCCAGCTGAGTAAGTTACTAAATGAGGCAGAATATTTTCAAGACAAAGAGCTGGCTGACATTATCATAACAACAAACAACTCATGTTTGTTTGTTTGTTTTTGAAGTTCAGAAAACACTCAACCAGCAGCTCCCAAAGCCAAATATGACAGAAACATAAACAGTATATATGTCGGTACTTGAGACATGCTGGGACTTCGTGTCTTGGTCATTTTGAATGTGACCCTTCAGTTGTATTATTCAGCAATAAGAGGGAGGTAGAAGAATCAACAGATTTTTTATTAAATTAATTGTATTACACAGAAGTTTCAGTTGTGTGTGTTTTGAAACTATTTGCTCCATAGCAAAGAGAATGAACATCAGGGTTCCAAGTTTTGCCCATATAAAAATTATTTTTCTTGCTACCATTTCTAATCCTGACTAAAAACTCAAGCCCAATGTGCTCATGATCTGCCTAGCAGATGACTAAATTCTGAAGATTTACATTCTCTTTTTTTTTTCTTTCAGAAACTGCTAAAGTGCAATGTGAAGAGGGGTAAACTACATTTTTTTCACACCCCCTGCTTAATATTCCACCATATTTTGCTAATTCAAAAATTAAGTCTCTCTCCTGATCTCTGGTAACTTTGAAAAATGTGTTCTGAATAAATGTGCTTATACAGCATGTGTCACCACAAGTGTCCTCATAGCCAGTGTCTATTAGCATTCACTAAGAACCCAAAATCACTAGGTCATTTTAACACCACCTACTACTTTCTTTCAAAGGAAAATCTCAATCTTTCCTTGTAATATGGATATTTTCTCCTCTACTGAAAAAGGTTTATTATTTATCATTTTATAATGGCACAAAAGTGGTGGTAAAAATCAGCATAAGGTGCAAGCTAATGGCATGGGATGCCACTATACAGCCATGCTGAGTCTCCTTGCTTTGAGAGAGAATACAGAGCAGATCTAAGGGAAAGGCTCTCACAGGGTAATTCTGGTCACTGCAAAAGGCTTTAAGTTTTCTAGCTGGGAAGAAGGCAGTTTATATAATCAGGAAATGAGGAAGACAGCCTATTTTCCAGTTTTATCATATTTATTATTCCCCAGCATATTGACAGCAGTTTCTTGATATTGTGTTCTTGAAGGGTTCTGTTCTTTTTAGAAGGTGTTTAATGTGATAATGCAAAGAAAACATGCCTTCTTTCTTAAAGTATCAGAAACATCTCAAAGCAAAACATAAAAGCATGTCGTATTTCCCCAGCCTTAAAGTGAAGCATCTTTACATCAAAAGAAGGTAAGAAAGCAAGTACTCTGAGGAATAATTCAGTCTTGGATGAGACATTAAAGATCACTAGAGTAGAGTAGATATACAAAATAGCATCTAAAATTCACTATAGGATGCTGTTCTGCAGGCTTACTCTTTCTTTAATAGTCTGCTGCAGTATTAATTGTATTTCAGAAGTAAATTCTGGAAATGTAAATCAAAGACTTGCATACAAATACTTACTGCAGGTATCAGTAACTTTTTTACTTCTTCAACAGCCCTCTTCAGTTTTATTTCTGCTCTGTTCTGAGCATCCTCCACAGTGATAAGTACATGTAAATCCTCATTCAGGTGTTCCCAGTTGGGTTTGCCTCGGTTCTGTTCTTCCTAAAAGAAAAATTAAAAAAAGGAAGCTATGAAGCACTGTTACTTTCTGCATAAGACAATCACAGAAAGAGTAGACAAAACAATTCTGTGAATAGCATGAACTGCATTTTCAGTAAGATGGGAAAAGACTTCTTCATACTAGGGAGACTTTCACATGGTTACTTAACAAGAACTTAGACTTCAAGTTATCTTTTGGGGGATTTTTATGTTTTGGAATCTCAAATTTTGTTGCTTTGGGGTTTTTTTAGACTACGAAACAAACAATTTCTCAGAGTACCTTTCCAACCAAAGGAACAAGACAAAGTAGTATTACAAACACCAGTACTGCTTTCAATATTCTTTGGAGCCTCTCAAGGGTTAAGCAGATAAAACATACTGGTGGTTAAGCAACCTCTTATTTTCAAGAAAAGTGAAACAGACACCATACAGAGAAATTCCTGAATGACTCCAAAGGACAAGGAAGCAATTCTTCAGTTCTAAAAATATCCCTTTTAAAGACTCATGAAGAAAAGAATCAAGAATCAAATATTACAAAAGGAACAGAAGCTGCAATTTGCAAAGCAGAGCTACATGCACTGGATGAAAGGCAGAGAGGAGACAACAAGGCTTTAATACCAAAGTCATGGAGGAGCACATAACAAGATGGTCACCATTACACAGGTGCTGTGTTTCATCAATGGCATGAATAATCCCAAAGATAAAATCTTAGTAATGTTTTCAGAAAGGGGGGGATGCTAAACAAAACATCTTTTTAATATAGACATTTTCCAACAACAGATATCAGTAATTTTAAGTAACACATAATAGTATCCAGTCTTTCAAATAACAAGATAATGAACACAGAAAAAACTTTCCAACTCTGCTTTTATAAACAGTGAAAAAAGCTAGCCAAATTTCCCAAAACCTGTATTTTAATTTTACAATATTTAAAATGTTAATAAAAAGAGGGGATAAAAACATGGGGAGGGGGATAGATCAAAACTTCAGTAAATGAGAAAGGTTTATTTTCACTTTTGAATCAAAATAAAGGCCTGTATTAACAACAAAAAAATAAGCCACCTTATCTGAAATGTAAAAACCTGGGCATAATAGAAGAGCCTCCTGTGGCATTACCACAATTCACATTTTTTAAAAATCAAGGCAAGCAAAATTAATGGCAGATGTGTCTTCCTCCTCAAATTTCATTAAAATTCTCCCAGAAAATCAGACTTGCAGAGGAAATGTTTGAAGATTTAATACCAATGAATACTTGCAGTATTTTATACTCATATATACCTGAGGGAGCACTGTTCCTCAGAATGTTCCATCTTTAATTCAGCTGCTTTAAATCTGAAGTGTTTTGTGGAACAGGTAAGAATAAAAATGGGAAAAAAAACAGAATAATGCGAGATGTACAGAAAATTTGTATAAAAGAGTCAGTACTTTGAAGGAAATTTCTTCTCTTTTTCATGTAATGTGCACATACCCACTACTCCATACTACCAGATACAGTAATATTTTTAAATGTTATCTTAGGCAAATTTCTAAACGATGGCTGTGAAAATATTGCTGTACATTTCAGAAGGTGAAAAAAAGACAGGAAAAAAACCTCTCATTTATAAAACAGAACCTGATGCAAAGCACAGCTGAATTATAACATGTTCTCTGCTGTAATTTAATCTTTTAAATAACTATTTGCAACAAGGTATTTGCAGCTCATTTCACTCAATTGTGATTAAAACTTCACTATTACTATTTAAACACTTCTATTTATAATTATTTTTTTTTTAATCCAAAGCAGAAGTGAGTTATTTTCTTGTATATAGTGACAAGCTATATTAATATGAGATAGTACGAAGTATTACATTACAGGTACGACAAATGAGAGCAGGTTCCTGAACCAGCAGAGGGCAGAGCAAGAAACTTCCCACTACCTCTTCTTGCACTGACTGGTAGTGAGTTGACATAACACTGGAATGGGAAAGGTGCCAATTACTACTACATGAGATGTGTGATAACGTGCACAACTACAGTAGCACAGGAAAAAAAAGAAAAAACAAGAGGGACAAATGACAAGGAAGGGTGTCCCTAAGTAAAATGGCAAGTTCTATTCCTAAAAGAGAAGGAATGCCTAAATGCAGTTTTAGCTACTGTGCAACTAAATTATATGCTTATACATAGTGTGAACAAATATAAAGGGGCCTTCGTGCATTGCATCAATTTATTTCATAATGAAAATTATATAGTACAAAATGTCAAAAACTTGGAAGATCTGGATGAGTTACCACTTATCAGCAATGAAAAATGAAATGCGCATTGTTATAGTGGATATAAGTCTGATTAGTAACTTTTGGAATGCAGAATACATATATATTTATATATAAAACAAGATAGCCTCTCTGTTATTCAGTATTTAAGTATTTCCATTAACATAATCTCAACTATTAGTGCTGCACTTAAAATTATTTTGTCACAGAATGTGTTTTTGTGTTTGTTTTTAAAAGCTGTACATAGGATAATAAACAGATGAAACCATAAAGGTTCTTTTTCTACATGACCTAATTTACTTCTGGTGGAACACACTGTGTGTAAGGTCAATAATCATGTGTATAATTAAGGTCAGACCTCACAGCACAATCATACAAATACTTATCAGTAAGATAATTGAGCTAGTAAATTACTAGTTCTATAAATGCTCTCCTATGGTCATGAAGAACATTAATAAAAGTCCTTTTGTTCTGGAGAGTACTATTTATTAAGTCAAATAGTAAAACCAAAGAAAGGTTAAGAAGAATAGAAGTCCACACAGTATGTTTTTAAAAAAACAATTAAGTAAAAAAAATCAAAGATTTGAGTTCGGAATGAATTTCTAATTTCTTCTACCCCAACACACTGTGCCTTTGAATCCCTCCACTGCTTCTGTTCTGTTATATAAGCCTTTCTTAGTGGGTTAACAGTTTCTTTTCTGTTGCCTGTGCATATACACTCATTATTCTCAGGGTACCTATACACAACAATGGACTTGAAGAAACTGCTCAGTATTTACCTTGCTCTTAAAGTCAATGGATCAGGTAATTTTAAAAAAAAAAATAAATAATCTTACCACAATTTCCCAAAATTGGTTGCACAAAAAATAAAAGAGTAACATAATTATGTAAAGTAACACACTTACAACACAGTTACAGAAATTTTGGTGTTTGTTTTTTCTTCTTTCCTAATTATTCTTTATTTTCATGGAGAGGAGTTGCGGGGAGGGGGGGGGGGGGGGGGCAAAAAAAAAGA